CCCCCCCCCCCCCCCCCCCCGACTTTTTTTCTGTCCATTTTTAAATAAACACACACAGAGAGGGGAGGGCTGCAACCCCTGCCCGCCCGGCCTTGGTTGCATCTTGGCCGAGCATTGCGTTTGCAAATGGGTAACCCCCCCCCCCCCCCCCCCCCCCGAGCATTGTGTTTGCAAATGGGGGGTCTGCACGCCTCCCCCCCCCCCACCCCAGGACCCCTGCTTTTGTAATTTTTGACAATCATACGAGCATTGTGTTTGCTAATGCCCCCTGCCCCCTTCCCCCCCCCAGCACCCCAGGTTCTTTTGGAGTCCTTGCAAAGCTTGCCAGGAAGAACCTGATGCCATTCTTTCAAACAGAGCAGGAAAGGCCCACACGTTTGTGCAACTTAAGAACGCCATGACCATTTGGTTTCTGAAGCCACATGCATGCTTTTCAATCGGGCACACGAGCATCGTGCTTGCAAATGGGAGCCAAGCTGAGCCACGCCTTTGCAAGGGGACACGGCCGGGCCACACTTCAATACTTCCGCCGGTTAAGGAGGGGGGGTTCCTGGTGGCTTTCTCGTCTGACACTACCTCATACAAAAGGGAGGCGACATGGGTAGCCGAACTCCGACCCCTTTGAACCCGGAGCCCTAAACCCAAAACCCCAAACTCCAAATCCTAAACCCTGCAAAGGCAAAAGAATCTGCGTTTGCGACAGGTGAATGGTCAGAACACCGGCTTCACGAAGGAAGAGGTGCGCAGTTGTAGCTGACATACTGTGCCTCTCGTCCCTGGGACGTAGGGTTTAGGGTTGAAGTTCAGATACTAGGCCCCGAAGAAACGGCCCCCCCCCCCCCCCCCCCGCCCCATTTCAGGGGAGCCTTAAACCCAGGCCCTGAGGCTCCCTAACCCTAGGGAGCCAGGACATCCCTGAGCCCCCCGAAAGCCTGAGACCTCGAATCCCCTCCAGAGGCTGTTGAGAAGGGCAAAGGTGAACCCTAAACATCCCTAAACCCTATAAACCCTATAAACCCTATAAACCCTATAAACCCTATAAACCCTAAAAACCCTATAAACCCTATAAACCCCTATAAACCCTATAAACCCTAGAAACCCTAGAAACCCTATAAACCCTAAACCCTATAAACCCTATAAACCCTATAAACCCTATAAACCCTATAAACCCTATAAACCCTATAAACCCTATAAACCCTATACCCTTACCCGAATCCCTAAACCCCAAGCCCCAAACCCCTTACAACACCGCCAAAACTCTAAACTCCCAAAACTAAAGCTCTTCAACTCACGTACGCATAAGGCTTAGACTCCCAAATCCACCCCGACGCCCCAATATCCCTACACCCCTTAAAACACCTCTCAGCCCTTCGACTCCTACAACTCCTACGACCTACGACCCCCTGAAGCCCTATCCCTAACCCACGCGGCTATCTCGAGGTGCGCGCCTCTTTTGAAAGCCAGTGCCCGGGTGTGTCGCTGATGGTCGATGCCACTCGGACCTCGGAGTGGGCCCATATTCCTGAGTGCGCCCATATTCTTTTTGAGGGGTCTAGGGTTTTGAGCTTAACAGGTTTAGGCGCCCTTTTTACCCACTTTTGACCAAGAAGGTACCCTTTTCCCTTTTACTTGTAGATGAGTCTGGGACCCAGGCCATGGGCCGCGTGGATGGCAGCCAGGGGTGGCAAGAGAGCGAGGACGGGGAGGGTTTGCCATGGGATGTGGGCTTTGGGTGGCACTTGGGGGACAAAGGGGGGGGGGGGGGGGGGGGGGGGGGGGAAGGTCAAAGTTGACAGCTCAACCCTGTGCCCTAAACCCTCAACCCCAAATCCAAAGCCCCAGAACTCACCCCTCACCCCTCAACCTCCAGAATCTTCAAGCCCTTGGCCGCCAAGACGAGGACTTGGTCAACAGATGGAATCAGGAGGCCGGGCCCATCATCCCACGTCTCATGGGATCCTCCGCTACCCCGACTTGAACTGACTTGAACCGCCTCCAGCCCAAAATCAGGCCCAAAGCCCCCAGCAAACCCCAAGTTCGGGGCCTCATTTGATTTCGAGTTGGGGGTTAAGGTGGTAATGGATCCAAACCCAACCCCCCTGCCGGACAGGGTTCGGGGTTTGTGAATTTGGGGCTTGGGGTTGACGGTTCTGGGTCGGTCGTCTTTTTGGGTGGGGGTTGTTCTCGGGATCCCTGACCCTTCATCCTAAACCCCTCAACTCAGGTCCATCCTAGACCCTAAACCCCCCCTCCCCCCTCCCCCCCTCCCGTCCCGTCCTAACGAGCCCAGCTCGACTCCAGGTCGGGGCGCGCCTGATCCTCTCCCAACGGCCAAGCAATGGCCTGGTGGCGCTGAACCTCCGCGCCTTCTTGGCACCCTCCAAGCTCTAAGAGTCCGGACTTCGGGCTTTAGGGTTTACATAGGATCTGGGTATAGGGTTTTGGGATCCTTTGCAGTTTGCATTGTCCCTTCTTGGAGGATGCCTTAGGAACGTCTGAAGAGCGCTTAGAAGGCAAGATCGCGGAAAGCACTTGCAATCTCGCGCCTGCTGTGCCAAAACCCCCCCCCCACCCCCCCAATCAAAGGGTGGCGGAGGGGGGTGGGGGCACAAGAACCTAACGCCACAAGGGCGGATCCCCTAAACCTAACGCCGCAAGGGCGAGTCCCTGAAACTTAACGCCACAAGGGCGTATCCCCCAAAACTAACGCCACAAGGGCGAAAGCCTGAAACCTAATGCCAGGGCGAAACCCAACCCCTCCCAAAGCCCGAAAGCTCCTGAGTTCTAAACTAAAACCCCCAGCCCAGGAGACTCAAATGCCCTCAACACAGTCCCGGGCAAGTCCCCAAAGCCTGGCCCATAGGTTTCGGGCTCCGACAAGCTCAAAGATGCTTCCGATCAACCCACGTGCTGAAAGACCCCCCAAAACGCGGCTCAAAAAGACTTTGCTTGCACCCGAAACCTGGTCAAGCCTGCTTTTGGGGCTTGGGCCTGTTGCGGATTTTTTTTTTTTTTTTTTGGGGGGGGGGGGGGGGGGGCGATGATGATGATGATGATGATGATGATGATGATGATGATGATGATGATGATGATGATGATGATGATGGTGATGTTGTTAGACCATATGTGATGAACTTTAAAATGCAGAATATTTTGAAGACTTTTTGACATGCACATCAATCGAATTATGTAATCTACATCTCGATCATACAGCAGAAGAAAGAGAAGGTCGGGGGGGCAGGTGAAAGATCAGCTTGCCACGACCGTGTGCCCCAAAGTTGCGGCCGTGTGGCAGAACCCGCGCCTTTACTCCTCATTGAAACCTCCAAATTCAGAGTTGTGCAGGTATACACATACTACATTCGGCACGTTTCAACCCACAAAAGCGTGACCAAAAAACCATTATTCCAAAACCAAAGCCCTATGTGTCTACGTCGAGTTGTCGAAGCCCTCGTCCCTGGCGATCCTTTGGTTTCAGAAAAAGGTTCGCGGAATCCAAATATCCAGAATTGCGGAAACCGCCGTTTGCCCTCGTGCCCTTCCTCTGAGGGTTGAGTCCTGGGAGGCCGCAGATCTTTGGGGCCTAGACGAGGACACTGCACTGGGAAACCCAAAGGCCTCGGGGAATCTTCTGAAGCCTCGGCTCTCAGCTGCTTGCAAGCACAGTCACGCCTGCCAACCCGAGCATACGGTTAGGGCTTAAAGAGCTTGAAATGTGTCACCTTGCGTAGCAGTCTAGAGCTGTTGGAAGCAACAGGCAAGGTAAGGGACCCTTCCTTCTGGCAACAATACTGTATGTGCCAGAATTGATTCTGGGCGAAAGTGAACTTGATGTGAGGGAAGTTTCTCAGCCGACCCTAATTTCCTAGCTAAACCTCCATACCCGAACCTTGCACACCACTTTTTCCAAAGCCATCTACTCACCAACCTTCATGTCCCGCCATGTACGGTGCATATGCCGCGGGATACGGCCAGGGCTACGGCCAGGCCTACGGCCAAGGCTACAGCCAGGGCGGCGATCAAGGCTATGCCCAGGGCAGCAGCCAAGGCTACAGCCAAGGCTACAGCCAAAGCTACAGCCAGGGCTACGGCCAGGGCTGCGGCCAGGGCTACGGACAAGGCTACAGCCAGGGCTGCGGGCACGGCGGGTACGCGCCTCCGGCGCCCGGCGCCCGGTGAAGTCTGACATGCGCATCGTCATGTTAGAGCCCTTGCTGTAAACCCTACAAACCTGACGCCCCAGGGTCACATTGTGTCGTTGGCTTCCCGACAATTAAAGCAGGCTCAGCTGCATCGCACGGCGGCTTTTATTTTTGTAGCCCATACTATAACCCTAAATGTTCCATGCACCCCATGCTTGCTCGAACTTACAAAGTCTTGTAGCCTGAGCCGTGTTTGGGTTTCGGGCTTGGCTTTGTAGGTTTTTTCAGGCTTGTAGTAGGGGAGGCAGGTGGAGTTATTCATGTTCGATGATCTCCTGCTTTTCCCGGATCGCGCGCGAACAACATCGTCATTCAAAGCTGCACATGCTCAAAGTGTAAACCCGCAAGCCCTGAGCCCTAAACCCCGAAACCCCCGAAACTTTAGACCCCAAACCCTGAACCCTTTGAGCCTTCTCCCCAGTGTCTCAGGTATCAGGCCGGTTATGGGGGTCATGCCGGCAGCCCTAGCATGTCCCAGGCGGCTGTTTCGTAAGTGCTTTGTATACCCCTAAACCCCAAACCCTAAACCCCAAACCCTAAACCTATCGGCGTTTGAGCGGTGTCCAGGATACATATTGAGCCAGGCAGAGCTTCGACCCTCCTAAACGCTGAGTCCCACACCGCAAAGCCCAAGAGATATTTCAGGGGTGTGTTCTATGTCTAAAAACACAGAGAGAGAGAGAGAGAGAGACAGAGAGAGACAGAGAGAGCGAGAACCGAAGTAAATAGAGAGAAGTGGAGATAGAGAGAGCTTCTCGACTATCGTTTCCTCGCGTGCTTCCTTTGCGGGCGCCGGGTAACGGGTTTCGGGCGGCTCCAGGCAACCAGAGGATCCAAACCTTGAAGGGGTGCAATTGGTAGGAGGTCCTCTGAAACATGTTCTCCAAAACTCGCAACCCTAACTGGTGCACACAGCTCGCGAGCATCCCAAACCCTTAGCTGCCTGAGCCCTGTACGCATCCACAAGTCTCAAATCCTAAATGCCACCCCCAAGCCCGTTTTAACGACCCCGAAGGGCCCGAAACATCCGAAGAAGCCCTGACGAGCCGGTGACCTAACTTGGAGCCCCCCATCTCACCCATCTCAGGCCCGGCCAGCCATGCCTCCCCGCCCGCTGCCGGGAATGGACCCGGCCAGGAGACTCTGTTCGGCTTCGTAGGCTTAGGCTCTTGAGGACCTTGGGTTTGCCTTTCTCTAAAGATGGCGTAGAAATCCTACAAAGAAGCCCTGATCTCCACACTTTAGATTCCAGCAATCTCAAGCATTCCTAAACTCTGGAACCCAAGCCTCGCAGGGTCCAACAAGGGTGCAAAATGGTGCAAACACAGGGCTACGGTAGAGGCTCGGAGTGTTGCGGCTTGGGGTGGTTTAGGGTGGCCTCGGGCTTTGGGCCGTTTGGGGTTCAGGGTTTAGGGCTTCTACGCTACCTGACTTGCTTAGCATGGTAGGGCTTCGGGTGGTTTTTTGAGGGCTTGGGGTGTGTCGGGTGGCTTAGGCCTTTCCCGCGAGTCTGCAGCTTTTCTGCCCAGGCCTCCGGCATCGCCTGTTCCCAAGATGGTCTTTTGTGGGTGAAGTTTGGGGCTTTCGTGTGGGGGGAGCTGACATGAGTGCCAATATCATCCCCTCTGGTCTACAATCACCGGAAACTATAAAACAAGATCTGGATTTAAAGATGGCCCCGTTATTTGGCATTGTTGGTAGCAAGACTGCAATTGCTGATATCTCTTCGGCTTACGGAAAAGTGAAAGTGCGCGACCGTCAGGCCTTGAACGCCCTTGCTGCTAAACCTAAACGAAGTTCATCATGAATGACAAGATGTTTCGTCATTTCGTTATCATGGTGACGCTTTTCGTAAACGCAACTCAGAACGTTTGCGAGGTCTGGCCAGGCGGCCAGCGCCCACCTGGACCCATCGTCAAGGCGACGGGCCATGCGCCCGTTTCGGGTTTAGATCTCATGTTTTACGACGAAGGGTTTAGGGCTCAGGGCTCAGGGGCTAGGGCCATTCGGGCCCCAAGTCCACTCAGAGACTCAGGGGTTAACTATCACAAAGTGAGCCCGAAGGGTTTAGGGCTTTTAGGGGCCCGAGGGTAGGGGCAGTGCACCATCCTTGTTATGTAATTAACGAACATGTGTAGCCCCTGCATCCATGACCCTGCCATATTATATTCGGCAGCGGCATAGCCTTTACTTGTCCACGGTCGCCCTCAACCCGGTTTTAACGTGTAGACATCAAACTCATACGAATTCGCTTCTAGTGACTATAGACCTCGTAGTCTAGGACCCAACGTCTTTGCAAGCAAGATCCTGAGGTTAGGATGGGAGATGCTGAAACTTCTTCAACGCGTGTAGTTTTAGAAGTTGCAGGCGGGCAACCTGGCCAAGGACATCACTGTGCCCACTTTGAAGCAGGTCGGCTTGGGCAGCTGGAGGTTTCCCAGTACTTCATGAACAGGTCCCTCAATAGATGTGTACCTGGATATAAGAGTACATATTGTAATGGGCCCCAGCCACAAAGAGGACCCTAACTTAAAGAACCCTGCTCGCAGGGTTGGTGATGTTTATGGGCTGAGAGGGTATGTAGGGCTTGTTCGGACTTAGGATCTTACAAAAGAGCTTTTCTTATGCGTACTATGATCCTCCAAGTCTGGCTTGGGGTTTGTGGGTTTCGGGGCGGATTTCGGGAATTCTCCATTTGTAGTGCGGTGGGGTTTAGAGGGTTTAGGGGATTTAGGGGGTTTAGGGGGTGCCCAGCTTTTGAGCATCTGAAGGCACTCACGAAGTGGGGTGTTGACGGCATCAAGGAGGTCAGGCTGCTGGGGAGGGGGGGCAGAGAAGAGTTCTCTTTGGTGGAGCTGGCTGTTGGAAACCTAAGTTACAAAACCGTAAAAAACTCCAAAGCGAGCTTTTCTAGGCCCCAAAGCCAAAACCTACCGCTGTCACACGGGTTTTGTCGTAGGGGCCCTGGAGATCTGCGGGTGCAAGGTTCAGGGTTCTCAGCCAAGTTTTGCAAGGGCTCTGAGGGTTCTAAGGGTTCTGGCTACGGCCCTGGGACTGTGCGGCATTGCCCTGTTTATTCGGGATTATGTCGCAGAGGGTTCAAATGGGGGCCAAACCTGGGGTGCGGAGAGGTTTCGTGCGGCTAAATGCGTTGAGTTCAGGGCGGTTCTAGGGTGAGCTGGTCGTGCTAGGGGAACCCATTCACCCCAATCCTACACCCTAAACCTGACCGAACATCTGAATTGCGAGAATTAAGGGAGCCTTCGGCTAAGATCGTGGGCTTCGCAAGGGTCGCAGGTTTGGGGGTTCAGGGTCTAGTCTTCAGTTCTGGGGCTTGAGGCTCCCAGGGTTCTTGGAGCATTCTGGGGGTTTCGGCCATCCTATACCATCCTAAACCTTAAAAAACCCTAAACCCACGGTAAGCTGTGCAGTTTCCTATTTTTTCCTTTGGGGCTCCTATTGCAATATGGAGCCTTTGTGTACTGCACCCGAAAGGGGTCACAGAGTTGACAACTACCAAAAGGGGGGGTTCAGGGTTCAGGTGTTTGGTCTTGTTTGGGTGCCTTTGAGAATTGGGCTCAAGATCTTCTTCTTGTCTTCCCTTCCTCGTGTTATGGATCGGAGTTCGCGGAAACGACCCGTGTCCCACACAGTCCAAAGCCTTCAAGCCACGCTCTTCCGCCATAAATGTCAACCCTACTTGAGACTCCAGCAACGCCTAGGCCTAACCTGAGCCCTTGATATCACAGCAGGTCCTCCTCACTGATAGCCGATTCGGACAAGTCGCACTTTTCACCTTCAAGGAGGCGGTCCATGGGCGAGGGGTGTGTTAATCATGGGGTTTAGAGATGGTAGGGAGGTCGGGGTGGAACGAGCCTAAACTTCCCACCTAAACCCCAAACCATAAACCCTTAATCCTTAGCCCTTTAACCCTTAAGGCCCTTAAGGCTTCACCCTTAACGCTTAGCCCCCGACGCTTAGCCCTTAGCCCTTAGCCCTTCACCCTTAACCCCACGCCCCCATGCAGAGTTCCCGGCGCACCTCGGTGTCTGCGCCGAAGCTTGCTCAAACGCATGCCCTGTGCTCAGGAAACCCTGACCTGACTTGAGGTGTGCTTTGTTCAAGCGAGTCTTCATGTTAGGCTCAAGAAGGCTCCCCATCTTGACCAACCGATCTAAACAAACCCTAGATCTTGGAACCCGCCTAGTAAGCCCTGAGCCCCACTTGCAACCGTCAGTCTTCAACCCTGAGTCCCAAAACCTGGAACCTAAACCTGAGCCCTGAGCCCCGAAACTCTCAAAGCTGAAGCCTGCAGGTGGAGCAAGCTCAGCTCATGATGATGGCACATGGCCTGATTTAATAAGGGTCTAGGGGGCTTGGCCTGGCTTAGGGGGCGTTTAGGGTAGGGGGGGTTGGCCTTCAGCCTCGAAGCCCAGGAATCCATGCCCGAAACTTTGTCTGAAGTAGGGGCCCGAACCCCGACACCCGATGCCCTTAAGACCGCAAGCTGCCCTAAGCCCTAAGCCAGGCGAGATCTAAGAGCTCCAAACCCTGAACCCCGAACCCCAAACCCTAACACCCCAAACCCCAAAACTCCAAACCCCAGACCCAAACCCTAAACCCTAGAACCCTAAAACCCTAAACCCTAAACCCTAAGCCCTTTGTCAATGCGGCCTAGGCGCAGGGGGTGGAGGTATCGGGGCGGCCGCTGATGCTCGAGTTCCTCCCGGCGCCTTGAACCGCGGAGTTGGGAGGGCTTGGGGTGTAGGGTTTAGGGTTTAGGGTTTAGGGTTTAGGGTTTAGGGTATATGGGGCTCAGGGTTAATAGGGTTTAGGGTTTAGGCTTTAGATGTTTGATAGGTTTCGTGGGGTTTACAGTCTTTACAGGGTTACAGGGTTTACAGGGTTTATAGGGCTTATAGGGTTTATAGGTTTTATAGGGTTTAGGGGTTTAGGTTCTTTAGGGCTTAGATTTCGCGGTGCTTCCGAGGGCCTCGAAACCCCCAACCCTAAACCCCAACTTCACTCGTGGTTCGCTGGCAGGCTGCACCAAGGTATCTTGCATTTGCTGCACCGAAAGCCCGTCACAAGCCTTAAGCTCCAGATCCTCAATGTCAGTCATCCTTTCCCTTCAAGCCCTGAAGCCATTTATGCTCAAACCTAAAACCCTCAAGAGAGCCCAATCCTGAAGCCCTGGTTCAACAACAGCCGCAGAAACAAAGGTATCAACCCTCCCAAGCCTTAAGCAGAGCCCTGCCCGCTTAACTCCCATAAGCCCCTCAACCTTAAGACTCCTGAAGCCCTGAGCTCTGAAAAGCCCCTAAACTTCTAAACCTTTTATGAGCCCTAGTTACACCTCCCAAGTCCTCAAATCGGAGGCTCCCAGCAACGCCAAAGCCGCGGAGAAGAAGCCTGTGAAGGAGGCAGTTTAGGGGTTTCGGGTCGGGCGTAAAGGGGAGGGGGGGGGGGTGGGATTAGGGAAGTTTATCAGAGGGAACAGGCAGAAAGCTGGGGCGTCTCTACAAATGGAGTCGGGGCGTGGGGCGGGATTTGACGCAGTGTCCTTTTGGCAGAAGTTTGTGTAGGTACTCGAGTAATAACAGGGGCTGGGCTTTGAACTCCGAGCTTTCGGCGTATACACCCTGAACTATATCGGGGATCCTACTATGCACTGAGGTATATCCCCACAAACCCTGAGCCCTAAATGTCTAATATTGCCGTTCCTTTGCTAAGGGACCCGGTGTCCAGGGGCCCATTTAAACAAGCCTGGTCTCGCACCTCGGGTCGGCGGGTCAGGCTCCAACGCCAGCCGCCCAACCCTGGATTGAGGTTTAGGGAGCCCAGAACCCTGTTGTGTCGCGCAAGCCCGGATGATTTTCTGCAGGCCAAGATCGTGACCGAGATCATCAAGGCATCCCAGGGTTTTGTTCGAATACCCCGAAGCCCTAGAGTTCGAAGTGTGTTTTCATGTTGGTGTGGGGGGTTGGGGGGGGGACCTGGAACCCCATGGGTGCCTGAACCGCTGAACTTCAAGGCAGAGCCCCGAAGTTCAACCCGGAACCTTCGCATCACTCACCCTCAAGCTAAAACCCTGAAGCCCCTCAAGCCCCTGAGCCCTAGCCCTCATGCCCAGGTCTCCAACCTCCCCAAGAAGATGGAGAAGTTCGAGCTGGCTCGGGGCCACGGGGGATTTCGGGTTGAGGGAATTTGGGACTCGGGGGGGTTTCGGGGGTTTCTGCAGGGTTTCTGGAGGTTTTGGGGGATGATGGGGCTTTTTCGGTTTTGTGTGGTTTGTGGGCTTGGGTTAGGGTCTTGGGGTGGAGGGCCCATCGGGTTTGAAGCAACATGTTGAGGGCTTAGGGTTGCTAGGGCCTCGGAAAACTCAGGGTTGCAAGGTCGCCAGAGTTTTAGGGCTTGGGCTCCTCGCTCAAAGCTCTCAACCTGTAGGAGGTTTTACAAAAGGATCTCCCTCAGCCCCCCCCCCCCCCCCCCCTAAGACACCCCGAGAGCTCGGCGCCCACGGCGCCCGCATAACAATGTGCTCCAAGCAACGTGGGGCCACACTCGGAACCCGAAACCCGGTGTCCCACCCAAGAAGCCTTGCAGCTTCGTGGGCCGCCCCAGAACAATCCTGAAGACCCGGAAACCCTGAAAGCACGATGCAAGCATCCACCCCTCAGGTCACACACCTGCGCTCCCATGGGGTGCTGGGCATCTCACAGGTACGACCCCAGGGGCTTGGCGGGCCTTCGTGTTCAGGGTCTTAGTTTTCGCACAGCTTTTGCTAAGACCTTTGAGCCCCCAAACCTTAAATCCAAGCCGGAATGTGCCTGGGCAATGCTACGGACAACAAAGCCGAGTTCTGGGCCGAGTGGGGTTCAGGATTTGCATCCTAAACCTGCAAAACACCTTACCTGTAGGTTCAGTTGGTAGGAATAAATACGGTTATCAGAGCCTGCAATAGCGTGTAGTTATCCGGATTGCTTTACTTGTAACGCTACGTATAAGCACCTGTGAGCCAAGTGGCACCAACCTCCCAAGGTGGTTCTGGAGCGGCAAAACACGGCACTCGTCCGCTTCAACGAAGAAAGAGATGCCGCAGACTCGGCCACAACTCGGACTTCCAACAACCCAGAGTGTAGTGCAGCGTGTATCTGTCTAATGCATGGCATGCAAGGGGCCGTCATGCTAAGAGCACATAGTTCTGAGGGCACTAGAACCGTAGGGTCTCTTTGGTCTCTCCATATTTTCTCGTGCAGGATCCAAGAGATCCACTTCAGAGGTTTCAAGAGGGATGCTTGTTGGCGCTCAAGATTTAGGCAAGTGAGTTGGGCTCCACGTCGGGGGCTTGGTCCCCTCCCCTCCCCCGCTATTACAACACCCATCCTCACTCCGCCTGAGAGTGGTCGGGTCGAAGCCCCAAACCCGAGCGTCCCCAGAGTGCCAACGCCCAGGTGCCCAAGGCCATCGAGAAGGCGGGGCGCAGGGCGGGCACTGAGGTGCCCGACCTGACAAGGATCCACCTCCCCCCCCTCCCCCCCCCTCCCCCCCCTCCCTGCCGAAACACGCAAAGCAAACCTTCAAAGTTCTGCAAAAGCCCGAAGTTTGCAACCTCCACACTCTTCGATTTGGCAGGTCAAGCCAGGGAGTCTTAGCCAAGCCCTTAAAGCCTTGCACCCCAAACAAGCGCAGATGGGGGCTAGGATCAGAGGACCCCAGTGCGATGCAATGCTGGGTGGGGGTTGGGCGGAGGGCGGTGGGGGTCGGGTGGGGGGGCCGGGTGGGGTGGTGGGGAGGCGGCTTTAGGAAGGTTTTTGTTGGGTGCTTGCTTGGAGGCTCGTGGGTGGTTCTACCAGTACCATAGGTAAGGTCCAGCGCTCCAGCTAGGGTTCGAGGGTGCTGGCTTGCAGCGAGTTTTAGGCCGAACGCGTCTGCGACTGTTCAGTGCGTTCTGTTGCCGGGCTCGGCACGGCTGGTCCCGCAAGTTGTTGGGTTTAGGCCTTCGAGTCTCGGGCGCGGCTTATGATGAAAGTCCACTTCGGGCTTATCAAAAACACTTGCCTGCAACCGTCAGCTCTTCCTCGACGACTCTACAGCCAATGGCTTTCTGCGTGTTTGGACGAATCTGACCCCAAACCCCTGCACAAGGATGTGCAAGGCGATGGGAAATGCAGCTCAAGAGTTTAGGGTGTGTAGCGCCAAGGGTTTAAGGTTGAGGTTTGCTGCAGATACGGCTCCAACTGTCTTTCAGCCACTGACTTGGGCTGTTGCGAAACCTGTGTCACGCTTGCTAGACCCTTACGCGCTCTTTGCCCGTCTTTGGCCAAGAACTGTAAAGCTTGTGCCGTAGCTCCGAAGGGCCCTTTTGGCGGCTCTTGATGAGGTCTCCTTTCTAGCTGCTAGCGCGCGAGTCGGAACAGCGTGGCTATCTAGCATAGCACATGCTTTGCACAAGCTCTGCAATCAGCTGCCTGTAATGAAGCTACATGTTCACAACAGGAAGCGTGAAAACAATGTATGGTGCTGAAAGTTTCTGGGTCTACTTCTATGAACAGAGCTTCACTGGCTGCCCAGTCCTTTACGTGTGTCGGAGAAGGTTGCAGGTTAGACTTTTGTCAACTAGGTAGCTGCTTCTGAGCCCAAGACATATCTTAGCCACGTTTCTGCTCGGGAGTCTCTGCCGAGCCATTGCCACTCCAGTCGCGCGATGTTCGGCATGTTCGCGGTTGCAAGTTTAGAGCTCTCTTAAGGGCTTACGGCTTCGGGTTCCGGGAATTGCTATCAAGCTTTCTAGAACGAGGTGTGGATAGCAGTACAGGGCTTCGGCAGGCGTAACACATCGTGTGTTTCTGAATGCTGCATTCTGGGTTGAATCGGTTGGTGACAGAAGCCCGAGCGATGTTTCTGTACAGCCAGTCCTAGAAAGGGGTAAATTGCACATTGGGGTTTTGATCACAGCCTTGCTCTGACTTTGTGATAGGCCAACCACACGACGTTCAAGGCCTCCACGAGATGTACGTTGCACCCAGACTTGCCTTGGTTGGTTAGGGGTGTACGGTTTAGGGTCCGGGTTTAGGTGGCTGCAGGCCATCTGAACCCAGGGCTGTTACGGTCTCCCCTCTGGCTAACATTGCTTCTTGCAGACAGGTCAGTGAGCGGATGGTGGTCTAAAGGTTAACGACAGTTAAAGGGCGGGGGTGTGCGAATTGCCCCTACATTCGGCAGGAAGCAAGGTTTATCAATAGGGGTTGTTGATAGGCTGCCTGCAAACTTGCAAGACTTGTTCCGGTGATCAAACATTCCAGAGGAGAAGAAGTTGACTTTGGAGCCCTTCGCAGCACATTGGCAGGGGGCTCAGCGATGCGAACCCTGGGTCCCGGCGTGAATCCCATCACCAAGGCCCCTCTTAGGCCCGAAAGCCCTCCTGCTCCAAAAGGCCTCGGACCGGAAGCCCCAAGTCCCACCCGCCATAAAACAAGAGCCTGTGCCCTCAACCTTGCCTGGGCTCTCAGAATCCCCTCAGCCCTGAGCTTGTAATGCCCTAAGCCTTAGGCTCAATCAACCCCCCGCAGCCCGAACCCGAAATGGTCCCTCAATATCTCCGAGGGATACCCTCTTCCCTGACGGCGAGCCCAGAGACTACCGCAGCAAGCCCCAGAGTTTGAGGGTGCAGGGCTCCTGAAGGTTCAGGAGGGGGTCTCAGGGGTCTTAGCTTACCGGACCCTACTTTTGGACTCAAATCCTAAACCTTACTGTAAACCCTTGAGCCGAAACCCTGGCAGCTTAGGGTTTAGTGTTCCATGATTTGGAACAATCCCCCAAGCTCTTGCCCCGTCTCTCTCTCCCTGTCTGTTCGGAGACACGGAAGGGCTGATTCGTTGCCCGAGCTCACTGGGAACCAAGGAGCACAGCCCCAAACCCAGCCCAAGAGACCCTAAACCTGCCCCCCCAAAAGCCCTCAAACCCACAAAGCCCCAGGTCCTAGCCCAACCAAGCCAGAAGAAACACGTTGGCAACCCCAAAACCCTATCTCTCCAACATCCCCCCCCCCCCGTCTGCTCAGGCCCCGGAGACGAGTCGCAAGGCAGGGCTTGGGGGTCGCTGGGGCCTACTTGGGCTTATTCTTATCGCTTTTTTGATGGTCTTTCGGCGTTCAGGGTTGTAGGGGTTTGCCAGTTTCTTGTTTGTCTTCTTGTTGGGTGGGGGGGGGGGAGTTGTTTGTAGGTTCGAGGTTCGAGAGTTTAAAACTAAGTTTGACCCGACGCCTGGGGTGATTCACATGAAAGGGTTTAGGGTTGAGGGCTCTAAGGAGTTTAGGGCTTTGAAGGTAAGAGGATGTGAGGGGTTTCAGGTTAGAGCTCTGAGGCTTTGGGGCTTTGGGTCCTGGTGTTGGGGTTTGGGTTTGGGTCTGCGCATCATGAGCATCAGTTGGTCCTTGCTGGGCGTGAGAACCCGACGAGGCGAGCATCATGAGAAGCAGTTGGCCCTTGCAGGCCCTTGCTGGTCGTGAGAACCCAACAAGGCGAGCATCATGAGCATCAGTGGGCCCTTGCTGGGTGTGAGAATCCGACAAGGCGTTGGCCCTTGCAGGGCGCGAGAACCCGACAAGGCGAGCATCATGAGCATCAGTTGACCATTGCAGGGCAAGAGAACCCGACAGGGCGAGGAGCACGAGCACCAGTTGGCCCTAGCTGGGTGTGAGAATCCGACAAGGCGTTGGCCCTTGCAGGGCGCGAGAACCGGACAAGGCGAGCATCATGAGCATCAGTTGACCCTTGCAGGGCAAGAGAACCCGACAGGGCGAGGATCACGAGCACCAGTTGGCCCTTGCTGGGCGTGAGAACCCGACGAGGCGAGCATCATGAGCATCAGTTGGACCTTGCAACAAGGCGAGCATCATGAGCATCAGTTGGCCCATTGCAGGGCTTGAGAACCCGACAAGGCGAGCATCATGAGCATCAGTTGGCCCTTTGCTGGCTGTGAGAACCTGACAAGGCGAGCATCATGAGCATCAGTTGGCCCTTTGCTGGCCGTGAGAACCTGACGAGGCGAGCATCATGAGAAGCAGTTGGACCTTTGCTGGGCATGAGAATCCGACAAGGCGAGCATCATGAGCATCAGTTGGCCCTTTGCTGGGCGTGAGAACCCAACAAGGCAAGCATCATGAGCATCAGTTGGCCCTTTGCTGGGCGTGAGAACCCGACAAGGCGAGCATCATGAGCATCAGTTGGCCCTTTGCTGGGTGTGAGAACCCGACAAGGCGAGCATCATGAGCATCAGTTGGCCCTTTGCTGGGCGTGAGAACCCAACAAGGCGAGCATCATGAGCATCAGTTGGCCCTTTGCTGGGCGGGAGAACCCGACAAGGCGAGCATCATGAGCATCAGTTGGCCCTTTGCTGGGCGTGAGAAAACGACAAGGCGAGCATCATGAGCATCAGTTGGCCCTTTGCTGGGCGTGAGAACCCGACAAGGCGAGCATCATGAGCATCAGTTGGCCCTTTGCTGGGCGTGAGAACCCGCGAGCATCATGAGCATCACAGGGCGCGAGAACCCGACAAGACGAGCATCATGAGCATCAGTTGGCCCTTTGCTGGGCGTGAGAACCCGACAAGGCGAGCATCATGAGCATCAGTTGGCCCTTGCAGGGTGCGAGAACCCGACAAGGTGAGCATCATGAGCATCAGTTGGCCCTTTGCTGGACGTGAGAACCCGACAAGGCGAGCATCATGAGAAGCTGTTGGCCCTTGAAGGGCGCGAGAACCTGACAAGGCGAGCATCATGAGCGTCAGTTGGCCCTTTGCAGGGCGCGAGAACCCGACAAGGCGAGCATCATGAGCATCAGTTGGCCCTTTGCTGGGCGTGAGAACCCGACAAGGCGAGCATCATGAGAAGCAGTTGGCCCTGCGAGAACCCGACAAGGCGAGCATCATGAGCGTCAGTTGGCCCTTTGCAGAGCGCGAGAACCCGACAAGGCGAGCATCATGAGCGTCAGTTGGCGAACATCGCTCCCCTGCTCGGCGTAAGGGACCGAGTGGGCGTGAGGAAGCCGAGCTGCCATTGGTTTAGGGCTCAGAGAACGACTGGAGCCAGACTGACCCGTAGAGCAGCTCCTGTCGATTGCGGTTTTTGCGGCTTCAGACCCACTACGGACACTGCTTTACTGTGAGAGTTGGCTTAGGTATAGGGCCTGGCGCTTCCAAAGTCATAGGCTTATGCTACTTATGGGGCCCAGGATTTGGAGTTTCAGGTATAGGGTCTACCATCTGGCAGGCAGTTCGCGTGGAAGCCGTCGCGAGGGCTCGCGGAAGGAGGAGCCCGACAAGCAGTGGCAACGTAGCTTCAGATGTGTGTGCAGTTTTGCGCCGCAAACCACGCAGTCTCTTCGACGATTCGAGCTTGCATCCCAGAACTAAGCCCCAGCAAATTTCAATCCGTAAAATCTGGAGTGCAGGAGCATACAGATTCGCGCCCAGG